CACAATTCCCACACTGTGTCTCCAGTATTGTCCCTCGTAGCACTATGGGCCACTGAGGGACATCTTGTCTCACGGTGGGGCTGCCCCTATGGTCCTCTCTGTGCACTGGGTGCTCTGAGGAGGAATACTGTCCTTGGGCTTGGTGGGCAAGGAAGTGTTCCACTCTCTCTCCTTCCCTCTTTGTTAGCTCCTATTAGAGGTGCTCTGATTAGAGGTGCTCCTCCCCCTGAGCTGTACCCGCAGTGCTGTCCTCTGTAGTGCATTCTTTTGGGAGGGGAGCAGGGGGTGTCCACATGGTTGGGATTGGAGCTGGCCCCACAGACCTGTCTATTGGTTCCCTGCTTCATGAGAACCTTAAAAATATTCTCCATTACATGTAATACTCTTGTGAAATATGCACTTCCATTCTTGGAAACATTTTTTCAAACTCATCTGTTTGGATGGCTGACAGCACCTCCCTTATTTTTTTTTCTTCACCTCTTCTATGTTGTCAAATTGTTGTCCTTGCATGTCCCTCTTCATTCTCAGAAAGAAAAAGAAGTGGCACAGAGTGAGATCAAGTGAGTAAGCACGGGACAAGAGAGGCATGAGCATTTTGCCAAAAACTGGTGGCAAAAAATTGCATTTTCATGGTGGCAAAACCAGACCCTGTCTAGCACAAATCAGGCCCTTTTTGTCATACACTGTTATGCAATATTTTCAGAACCTCTAAATAGAAAGCGTGATTAACAATCTGACCTGTTTGAATGAACATCATAAAAACAAATGAGCATCATCTTGGTCTTTGCTTTCACTTGACAAGCATTTTGGGGGCAAGGTGATGAGGGTGTCTTCCACTGGCTTGATTGATTTGATATTTGCTCTCCATGTCATAAGAATAGCACCATGTCTTGTCCACAGTGATGACCTTGGGGAAAAAGTCCTGGTAGCTTCGGAGCTGTTCTTTCAAAGCATGGCATGTTTCCAATCAATGCTCTTTTTCCTGGTCAAGCAGAACTTGAGGCACACATTTCTCAGTGACCCTTCTCTTTCCCAAATCTTCGATTAAAATTTTCTGAACCAAGCTCCAAGATAGTCCAGATAACATCCCCATGTCTTCAACAGCCCGTCACCGGTCTCGAGCACAAGTGCATGGATTTTGTTGATATTTTCATCCATTTGGGAAGCTGGTCAGATGTCCAGAACCAGGTTTGTCATCAATGAACATTTCACCCTTTTGGAAACAAGAAAACCACTCATAGTGCTGCCCTCATAAGCTGTGCTCAACATCACAACAGTTTCTGTGGCATTTTTCCTGAGCAGGAAACAAAATTTCACAGCTGCAAGCTGTTCTTAAATCGGCCATCACACACACGCACACACACACACACACGCGGTTTGAGTGAAACTGCTTTTATAAAAGAATTCACAATGACCAGAGAGAACCTTCCCAGGCAATGCCACTGGGTGCACTAACTCAGAGCAAGTTGCTCAATGCTCAGATAGCTGGAAAAAGGCATACGACGAAAGCTCTGCCCAGCAGAGATTTTTACTGGGGTGTTTTTTCTTGAGGTGGGTACTCCCTTAAATCTTCATTGCAGGGAGAAGATAGAAATAACCTGAAGTGTTCATCATCAAAGGATGAACAAATTAAATGGATTACATATATACAATATATGTTGTATCTATGATGAACATATACATCATGTGATGATGACTCCTTGAAACATCTTATTATGTGGATTGTTCTAGAGGACATTATACTGAGTGAAATAACTCAGTCACACAAAGGA